CCAGTCCTGTGGCCACTGCTGAGTTTTCCAAATTTGCTGGCATATTGAGTGCAGCACTTTCACAGCATCATCTTTCAGGATTTGAAATAGCTCAACTGGAATTCCATCACCTCCACTAGCTTTGTTCCTAGTGATGCTTTCTAAGGCCCACTTGACTTCACATTCTAAGATGTCTGGCTCTAGGTGAGTGATCACACCATTGTGATTATCTGGGTCATGAAGATCTTTTTTGTACAGTTCTTCTGTGTATTCTTGCCACCTCTTCTTAATATCTTCTGCTTCTGTTAGGTCCCTACGATTTCTGTCCTTTATCGATCCCATCTTTGCCTGAAATTTTCCCTTGATATCTCTAATTTTCTTGAAGAGATCTCTAGTCTTTCCCATTCTATTGTTTTCCTCTATTTCTTTGCATTGATTGCTGAGGAAGGCTTTCTTATCTCTCCTTGCTGTTCTTTGGAATTCTGCATTCAAATGGGAATATCTTCCCTTTTCTCGTTTGCTTTTCACTTCTCTTCTTTTCACAGCTATTTGTAAGGCCTCCTCAGACAACCATTTTGCCTTTTTGCATTTCTTTTTCTTGGGGATGGTCTTGATCCCTGTCTCCTGTACAATGTCATGAACCTCCGTCTTTAGAGACATTCAAGTAGGCTACAAAAATAACCTTTCAGCCAAAGAAAGTGAGAGACATGACCACTATAGATGCCTCTTCACTGTCCTGGGGGACAGTTTGCATAAATAGTACTTCATAAATATGCTTATATCTCAGATTTGCTATTTCTGGGAAAAAATACAAGCTAGGTATTACTGAAAATATAAAAGGCTTTGATTGGTGCAAAAGCAGCTAATGCAGCCTGGTTTCTTCTGAATGTATTTCTCAGACTAATGTTTAGACCAATGGGACTACAAGCAACTCAGCCAGTCAGAACTCAGCCGTGCCCTGATGAGTATCGTGCCTACCCAGCTATGTAAGCCAGAACTAAACCATGATGTTAGTTGATTGCTGTTGTGCATCACTATTAGCACAGAGTAATTCAGTGTAATCTACCTACCTGGGCTCAGTGACATTTTAAATGTCTAGGGATATGACAAGGGCATAGATTTGAATCAAACTATGCAAAATATCAAAGCAGAAGACTTTAAAAGAGCCCTCCCTGCCTCACTATAGGTTTTTTCAAGGTCTTTTTCATAGTCTGGGGATCGGGATGTGGGGAGCAGGATTAGAAAAGGCATAGGGAAGAAATTGGCACCATGAAAGGTTTACACAGTAACATCCATGTTTTAGAAAACTATTTCCGGCAACTAGGCAGAGAAAGGACTGGAGATGGAACTGAACAGACATGGGGAAGATACTTTAGAGGTCCTTACAATAGGATGATTGACAGAGAATAAAAGACTGAACTGCAGCAATGAACATGGGAATTAAAAGGAATAACATGAAGAGAAGTACATAGATCTTTTTGGTTTTTGAGATCTCATTTTGAACTTTGGCTGGTGTCCTCAGCATATACTTAGTACAGAGCAGGTAATCCGATGCTTACCTGGACCACCCACTTGGGAAGGCTGCCTGAACCACTGAGACCACTGTAACCTGGGTCTTCCAGGAAACTGCCACTTTAGAACTTTCCCTACAGAGGGACCAGTAGGGGATTGGAAACAGATTAGTTAAAGTCCCTCCCAGCTCCTCCTTTGGGAGCAAGGCATTTCCTGATGAGGGACTACCATCTCAGCCAAACTGGGAACTTCTCCAGGACTTCGGCAGTCTTTGCATTTCCTGCCTTAGCCCAGTACTGAGCACACACTAGCTTTTAATAATAAAAAATGATAATAGTTTAAAATTACCCACACTTTCCACTTACTTTATGTAATAACTTTACTCTAAAAAGTTATATATCTATCTATAACACTCTATCTATAACAGAAGTAAGTAAATTAACTGTAGGAAATGGGAAAATGAGTTCAGTTCAGTTGTTCAGTAGTGTCCGACTCTTCACGACCCCATGAATCGCAGCACGCCAGGCCGCCCTGTCCATCACCAGCTCCTAGAGTTTACTCAAACTCATGTCCATTGAGTCGGTGATGCCATCCAGCCATCTCATCCTCTGTCATCCCCTACTTAGTTTTCTGAATGTTGAGCTTTAAGCCAACTTTTTCACTCTCCTCTTTCACTTTCAAGAGGCTTTTTAGTTCCTCTTCACTTTCTGCCATAAGGGTGGTGTCATATACTAATCCAAACAAGCTCTGAAGGAGCAAAACTGAAAACAATACATGCAAGTTAGATGAAACATTGGACTGAGAAATAATATTGTATGGAATGGGTAAACTGAAAGCACCACGGATTAATAATAAGCTCTATGAGAAACAAAAAAATTTTGTATGCTTACCTGCTCTGCCATGACCTCAGAGCCCAGAACAGTACTCAGTGCACAGGAGACACTTAATGAACATCTGTGGAATGAAGAAATGAACTGTGCTGGTTTAAAAGAAAGAAAGAAATACAAATGGCATGTCTTTCTATTAGGAGTTGATTTGAGTTTGTTTGTTTATGTTTTTGTTTGGTTAGCCCAATTCTAGAGCTAAAGAAAATATCTCTCATGCAGCTGTAACTTTTTAAAAATGGAGAACACTGCCAAAAAGTGGTATTTTAATCCCATCAGGAACAGAGAACAGAATGCAAACTGTTCTTTCTCTCATGACATCAGCCACGATTCTCTTGCCCTATGGTTCTGCAATGCTAAGAGAAGCCTGAGATAGAAAACCATGTGTCGATGCCTGACATTTGGTTCTCTCTAGGGAAATAAACTTATTTAACTAGTTTAATATTTCTTGGTGAACTATTAATGACCGGCTGATTCACAGAGATGTTTTTCTCTAGCTCTATGGATATTCTCAGTGACGTGAAGAAAAATAAAATAATAAAGGAAAAAACAACACATTTGAATAATGGGAGAATTTTCAAGTGGCATATACCTGCAACCATCAAGTATTACCTAGGGCAACATAATTTTTCAGGTAGAAATTCATTCTGTTTATCACACAGCATGTCCTAAGTATCCAGTCTCTTCTTAAACTAGCCCAGATGCAGTCCATTTTATTATTGAATATTCACATTAATTTTTTCATTTATGTAAAATTAAAATTAAGTATCTATTAAGAGCCAGTGTTTGGGCTATACCCTCAGGGAGCTCATAGCCTCCTACAGTTCCCTACAAGGGATTTCATGAATTAAAATGCGCTTGTGTTTGGGAACTAGTTAAAGAATGTGAAGGGAAAGAAACATCTTTGAAAGTTTATTAATGTGCCAGGGACATTTAGAAGGGTATCCTTAACCATCCTCTCTAAACAGTTTCTACCTCATGTCTGCTTACTTTTTCTCATCCTGTTTTTTTCCCCCTCTTCATATGCTAATCCTCACTGGACATGGTTCACTGCTCTATGGCCAGCTCTGAGAAGTAGCTGGCATAGCTCAGGGTTTTTTTTTTTATAGGTGTTGCATGAATGAACTTGAAAGGAAGCCATTTTTATTTTACAAATGGGACCAAGACTAATGACTTAAATGATTTGCTAATAATTGTGCAACTCTTAAATCACAAATTAGGGGTTTAAACCTCGGTGTGAAGGCAAAGCTCATGGTTCTTTCCATTATCACATCTCTCAATGCATGTTTCTTTACTGAGATATGAATGTCTTCTTTTGTTGAACACATTACATGAAAGATGCAGAGTTACAGAGATATTGCCCTCAAGAGCTGGGCACTTCTGGTTAGGAAGACAAGAAGTATCTGGAGACCCAGCTAAAAGTAGCTCAGTGTCTGGGTTCAGAAAAACTTCAGAGACAGAAAAAGGGAGGGTGAACTGGCCTGGGGCTCCCTCCAGGGGAGCACTTTAACTTGGATGGGGTCTGTGGTCCCTTGTGTGTTGTTATGTTAGTCGATCGGTCCTGTCTGGCTCTTTGCGATCCCATGAACTGTAGCCCTCCAGGCTCCCTTATCCATGGAATTCTCCAGGCAAGAATACTGGAGTGGGTTGCCATTCTCTTCTCCAAGGGATCTCCTCTACCCAGGGAACCCAGGTCTCCTCATAGCAGGCAGATTTTTTATCCTCTGAGCCACCAGGAAATATGAGGACATAAAGTATATTTCTTTAGAGTTGACAGTTTTCCTACAAGCCCCTTTTTCTGAGTTCCTATCCACGTTTAGATGCCAAAGAATAGAGGATTCTCCCCTCTTTTTGAGAGGGAACGATGGTAGAAATGTAGAATAGCTCATTTTGAAGAGTGTCTGGAGAGTTCACAGTCTAAGAAATGAAGAGGTGGACAAAAACTGTAGGAACTAAGGTTGTTTTGTCTGGAAAAGAGAAAAGTATGGGAGTGGAGGGGGAGGTGAAGAGCTAACTTCAAAAAATCGCCCCATGGGGAAGTGAGAAGTTTGTTGAAAGCCCTTACACTCACTTGGTAAACATCTGAAACGACCTGCACTTGAAGGCCTGACTGTTGGCTTTCCCTGGAGGAGAGAGAGGTTAAATTTATTCTCTTAAGCACCAGTGAAATAAAAAAAAAAAAAAAAGTGTGATGGAAACACGTTTCTCCTCAATACCAAGAACTGCCTTTAAAAGGCATGGAGCTGTTTCGGGAGGAAAGTCGTCCGCGGCGCGCCAGGGGACCGACTCAGCCCCAGGGTCGAGACGCCCGGGTCGGGGGTCGCCGGCTGGGGGCGGGGACCCGGAGCCCAGGGTGCGCACGTCAGACTCCAGCTGCGCATCCGGGGCTCCCCTGGGAGCGGCGCGGGGCGGGGCGGCAGGGGTCCCGGGAGCTCCGGACCCGGCTGGGCTGAGGGCGCGGGATCAGGGCTCAGCAGCATGCTGGCCACCGTCGGGAGCCTCCTGCGCCTCCGCCTAGGGCGCATCCCCTGCTGCGCCCCGGGAGCGCCCCCAGAAGCCGAGCGGCGGCCGGTCGCGTCTCTCTGGCCCCGGGGTCACCCCCAATACTCCAGTGGCGGGAGCCCCGGGGGCTCGGAGCCCGCAGGTTCTGGTGAGCAGGGGCTGGGAACGACCCGGGAGGGAGGGTCCGTGGAGCGCTGAGGCTGGGGGATGGAGGCGTGAGCGCACCCCGATCACTGGGCTGTCGGTCTCTCCGTCCCTCTGTATGTCCCTGTCGCCTTCGCAGCCGGGAAGGTCCATAGGGTCCCCGCCGAGCACAAGCCGTCGCAATTCGACAAGAGAATCCTGCTGTGGACCGGGCGTTTCAAAGCGATGGAGGATATCCCGCCTCGGATTCCGTAAGTGTGGCCCGTGCCGGGCCGGGGTGAGGGCGCCCTGGAGGGTCCGCCCCAGGCCTGGAAGGCTCGGGGTCCACCCACTTCCCGACCTGTGCGCACAGAGGTCGGGAGAGGTGTGCAGAGCCACACGGGTCTTCACAGTATTACCTACCACTCTAAGGGAATTACTCACGCGCCCCTAGTGCGGCTAAATCCCAAGCTCCTTCACTGGACTGTGGGAACCAAGCTAAGCTTGTGAGGAGATTGTTGAAATCGGGTGGAAATCCCGAAGTTCAGTGGGTGCTTCCACCGTCGCTCAGATACCCGCCCCCGGCCACCTCCGGGGCCGGGAGGCAGTGGCGCCCTTAGGCCAAACAAAAACCGGGGTCCTTGCGTACAGGCTGAGAGGCGGAGGGGCCCTGGCCTGGGCTGGGGAGGGGAGGAGTTGCGGCTCCCTGATCCACCCAAGGAGGGATCATGACTCGTGGGGTGGCCGGAGAGTCTCTGGGAAGAAGCCACATCCATGTGCCCTCCTCTTCTGGGGCGGGAGATGCCTGGTGTATGCTGTTTTGCAGTCATCTGAGCGTGGGTTTTCTAGGACTAGGAGCCAGGGCGCATCTGTGTCTCTGGCCTCCTCATCCCATACTCAAGACAGACGTTCCCTTGATAAAACCTAAGCTGACAACTCCAACTCCAGGGTAAATGTAATCTTTTACGAAAACAAAAACAAAGTAAAGGTCACCCTTAAAAAGCATTTTTTCTACAGCTTTAGTTTATGCAAAGCCCAGAAATCTTCCCAGCACCTTACAAGGGAGTGGTTAAAAGGAGAAGGAAGGAAACTAAGGATAAAACCAATCTACCACTTTTTAAACTGATCTCAGAAAAAAGTGAGACCAGAACTATAAAATCAAATAAGGATTTCAGATGTTCAAATATTATTTTATATGATGTGATCAATGCCTGTTAGAATGGATGATGGAAACTGGGTCTACACCTTGTTCTGTGCATATTGTGCACACTTTTAATTGATTGTTAATTTATTAGTCATCAAAAGCATCTCAAATGGGAAAAATATGGTGGGAAATGTTCAGTAATGAATTCTCAAACAGTTTTATTCCTTTCTTGAATTAAATGATTTAATGAGGAGTGGACATGGAATTTGCAATAACATGGAATTTGAACTCTGTTTTCAGCACTTATTCACCACGGAGATTTTTTTTTTAATATTATAAAACAAATTTTGTTGTCCTTGAGACCTATAATTTAGCCCAGAGCAGAAATTAGCCCCAGAAAAGCTTAAAAAGACCATCCTCAGTGTTTTTGGATTTTGAATTCTAGGACTATATGACAGAGTAATCAAAAATGCAAGGAACCTGCATTATTGTAAATTAACACATCTAGAGATTCTAGACCCAATATTATAGCAATATAGCTGTATATGTGAAGAGACCCATTTTACAAAAAATAATTCTTCCCCAGGATCACAGTCAAAGAAATATCGTTAAAAAGGAGAAATTCTGTTAAATTGACGTTGAGCAAGGTGCATAGGAAAAGTATTATAGTTTTGGGTTGGAAACATGAAAGTATTTGAATATTTTTTATTATTTTCTATAATTTTTAAATCATTGCTATTTAGGAGAGATATGCCTCCTAAGGGTTAGATTTACAATGTAAACAGCTTTCACTTTTATGCTTTTAATGGACATAATTAACAAGTGACCTATAATTTTTGTACCATACACTAATGATATTTAATAATGATTGTACTTTTCTTTTCAGTGTTAAACTAATTTGGTATAGCAGTTCAAAGCCAGCTGGATGGGTAAAAAAGATCAGATCTTTCAGGTTCCATCTGGAACAAAAATCAACAACAAATGTAATCTAATAATGTGCTAATGTTAACCTGCTTGCAACTAATATCTTAAAACTTACATCAATCTGCCTAAAACCTGAAGAAAACAGGCTAGATATTGGTTTTCTGTGTTCTTTCAACTGGTGGAAAGTTAAAGAAATATTTTTTAATTTTTAAGAGGAATTGCTTCCTAGAATTCTTTTTTTCTATTCAAACCACATATATAAGAAAAAATACTGCTGAATACTTTCTCAAAAATCATTCTTTACTTGTGTCTATTTATAAGCTGCCACTTTGTATTACTGCAGCAATATAAATAATAAATACCTGTTAATTTGAAATTAGTACTAGATTTGATAATGTAGTACTAGTCTAGTACTACATTAGTACTAATGTACTAATACTAGTACTAGTACTAATGTACTAGAATTTGTAAGGCATTCACATCTGCCAGTTGCATTCAGGGAAATTTTTGGAGTATTTATGTAAAAAATAATTGTCTATTATGCCAGTCAGGAAATCATATTGCTTTAATGTAATTAACAGAATACACATCTTGGTTTAGGCCAGAAATGATAGATGCTGCAAGAAACAAAGCTCGGGTAAAAGCTTGTTACATAATGATTGGACTTACAATCATCGCCTGCTTTGCAGTGATAGCATCAGCCAAAAGGGTGAGTACCTCTTTAAAGTAAAAATAGGCTTGAGAAATTTAAGAATTATAAGCTTTGTTCTCATTTGGAGGATTATTGCTGGTTTTCCAATGTAAGAACAGCCTCATCTCAGAATCTTGACTCATCCGCGTATATCAGTTGTACTGGAAACAACACTGTTCATGGAAATTTGAGTCAACAAATTAACTATCTGAACAGAAGGGACAGAAGCTTGTTTCCATCTATAAGACAAAGAAAAATGAGAAATTACGGTTTATAACCTGGTTAAAATCAGCAAAGGAAGAACTTTTTGTATGAAAGTTATCCAAACTACATCCTTCCTTAAATCATGAACTGTTTAGCTATGGCATCAGTTCAGTTCAGTCGCTCAGTCCTGTCCGACTCTTTGTGACCCCATGAACCCCAGCATGCCTGGCCTCCCTGTCCATCACCAACTCCTGGTGTCCACCCAAACCCATGTCCATTGAGTCAGTGATGCCATCCAAACATCTCATCCTCTGTCATCCCCTTCTCCTCCTGCCCCCAATCCCTCCCAGCATCAGGGTCTTTTCCAATGAGTCAGCTCTTTGCATCAGGTGGCCCAAGTATTGGAGTTTCAGCTTCAACATCAGTCCTACCAATGAACACCCAGGACTGATCTCCTTTAGGATGGACTGGTTAGATCTCCTTGCAGTCCAAGGGACTCTTAAGAGTCTTCTCCAACACTGCAGTTCAAAAGCATCAATTCTTTGGCACCCAGCTTTCATTAGAGCCCCACTCTCACATTCATACATGACCACTGGAAAAACCGTAGCCTTGACTAGATGGACCTTTGTTGACAAAGTAATGTCTCTGCTTTTTATTATGCTATCTAGGTTGGTCATAACTTTGCTTCCAAGGAGTAAGCGTCTTTTAATTTCATGGCTGCAGTCACCATCTGCCGTGATTTTGGAGCCCAGAAAAATATAGTCAGCCACTGTTTCCACTGTTTCCCCATCTCTTTGCCATGAAGTGTTGGAACCGGATGCCATGATCTTAGTTTCTGAATGTTGAGCTTTAAGCCAACTTTTTCACTCTTCTCTTTCACTTTCATCAAGACGCTCTTTAGTTCTTCATTTTCTGCTATAAGGGTGGTGTCATCTGCATATCTGAGGTTATTGATATTTCTCCTAGCAATCTTGATTCCAGCTTGTGCTTCTTCCAGCCCAGCGTTTCTCATAATATACTCTGCATATAAGTTAAATAAGCAGGGTGACAACATACAGCCTTGACGTACTCCTTTTCCTATTGGGAACCAGTCTGTTGTTCCATGTCCAGTTCTAACTGTTGCTTCCTGACCTGCATACAGGTTTCTCAAGAGGCAGGTCAGGTGGTCTGGTATTCCCATCTCTTTCAGAATTTTCCACAGTTTATTGTGATCCACACAGTCAAAGGCTTTGGCATAGTCAATAAAGCAGAAATAGATGTTTTTCTGGAACTCTCTTGCTTTTTCGATGATCCAGCGGATGTTGGCAATTTGATCTCTGGTTCCTCTGCCTTTTCTAAAACCAGCTTGAACATCTGGAAGTTCACGGTTCACGTATTGCTGAAGCCTGGCTTGGAGAATTTTGAGCATTACTTTACTAGCGTGTGAGATGAGTGCAATTGTGTGGTAGTTTGAGCATTCTTTGGCATTGCCTTTCTTTGGGATTGGAATGAAAACTGACCTTTTCCAGTCCTGTGGCCACTGCTGAGTTTTCCAAATTTGCTGGCATATTGAGTGCAGCACTTTCACAGCATCATCTTTCAGGATTTGAAATAGCTCAACTGGAATTCCATCACCTCCACTAGCTTTGTTCGTAGTGATGCTTCCTAAGGCCCACTTGACTTCACATTCCAGGATGTCTGGCTCTAGGTGAGTGATCACACCATTGTGATTATCTGGGTCATGAAGATCTTTTTTGTACAGTTCTTCTGTGTATTCTTGCCACCTCTTCTTAATATCTTCTGCTTCTGTTAGGTCCATACCATTTCTGTCCTTTATTGAGCCCATCTTTGCATGAAATGTTCCCTTGGTATCTCTAATTTTCTTGAAGAGATCTCTAGTCTTTCCCATTCTATTGTTTTCCTCTATTTCTTTGCATTGATCACTGAGGAAGGCTTTCTTATCTCTCCTTGCTATTCTTTGGAACTCTGCATTCAAATGGGAATATCTTTCCTTTTCTCCTTTGCTTTTCACTTCTCTTCTTTTCACAGCTATTTGTAAGGCCTCCTCAGACAGCCATTTTGCTTTTTTGCATTTCTTTTTCTTGGGGATGGTCTTGATTCCTGGCTCCTGTACAATGTCACGAACCTCTGTCCATAGTTCATCAGGCACTCGGCACTCTGTCTATCAGATCTAGTCCCTTAAATCTATTTCTCACTTCCACTGTCTAGTCATAAGGGATTTGATTTCGGTCCTACCTGAATGGTCTAGTAGTTTTCTCCACTTTCTTCAATTTCAGTCTAAAATTGGCAATAAGGAGTTCATGATCTGAGCCACAGTCAGCTCCCGGTCTTGTTTTTTGCTGCCTGCATAGAGCTTCTCCATCTTTGGCTGCAAAGAATATAATCAGTCTGATTTCGGTGTTGGCCATCTGGTGATGTCCACGTGTAGTCTTCTCTTGTGTTGTTGGAAGAGGGTGTTTGCTATGACCAGTGCGTTCTCTTGGCAGAACTCTACTAGCCTTTGCCCTGCTTCATTCCGTTCTCCAAGGCCAAATTTTCCTGTTACTCCAGGTGTTTCTTGACTTCCTACTTTTGCATTCCAGTCCCCTATAATGAAAAGGACATCTTTTTTGGCTGTTAGTTCTAGAAGGTCTTGTAAGTCTTCATAGAACTGTTCAACTTCAGCTTCTTCAGAGTTACTGGTTGGGGCATAGACTTGGATTACCATGAAATTGAATGGTTTTCCTTGGAAACGAACAGAGGTCATTCTGTTGTTTTTGAGATTGCATCCAAGTACTGCATTTTGGACTCTTTTGTTGACCATGATGGCTATTCCATTTCTTCTAAGGGATTCCTAGGCTATGGTTTTTCCAGTAGTCACACACAGATGTGAGAGTTGGACTATAAAGAGAGCTGAGTGCTGAAGAATTGGTGGTTTTGAACTGTGGTGTTGGAGAAGACTCTTTAGAGTCCCTTGGACTGCAAGGAGATCCAACCAGTCTATCCTAAAGGAGATCAGTCCTGGGTGTTCACTGGAAGGACTGATGTTGAAGCTGAAACTCCAACACTTTGGCCACATGATTCGAAGAGCTGACTCATTGGAAAAAACCCTGATGTTGGGAGGGATTGGGGGCAAGAGGAGAAGGGGACGACAGAGGATGAGATGGTTGAATGGCATCACCAACTCAATAGACATGAGTTTGGGTAAACTCTGGGAGTTGGTGTTAGACAGGAAGGCTTGGCGTGTTGCAGTTCATGGGGTCGCAAAGAGTTGGACACGACTTTGTGACTGAATTGAACTGTATCCATCTTCCTTCTCTCCAGTTCACCTGTCACTCTGAATAATTAAACTTATTTAATTTGAATACTTAATTTGATATTTAATTTGATATTTAATATTCAATTTGAATAATTAAACCTTAAACCTTATTTAAGATGCTGTCAGATAGAGATGGAGAAATCGTTAGCAATTTGAGATATGTTTGGAAATGTAAAAAGGATAGACCTTTATGGTAAATTCAGTGTGGGAAGAGGAAACAAAATGGAAGAATGACACAAAAAATGCCTGGATTTCTGCCTTGAGCATCTAAGATGGATGGTGTTGCCATTCCCCATATGTACAGCTGGGGAAAGAACTGGTAGGCCTGACAGACAAAATATATCAAGTCCTCTATTTTGGATTATGTTAAGTGTGAAATGCATATCAGACTTCCACCAATATCTATTAGATTTTTATTCTGCAAAGGACTTTGTATGTTCTTGAGTCTGAGGGACCTATAGCTTTGCTCACTTCTGAAAAAGTGTAAGCTGTTATTACTTCAAATATGACCTCTCCCCCCATTCTAATCACTCACCTGTTGGGAATATATGTTGGAATTTCTAATTCTATTCTTCATGTCTCTTAACTTCTCTGTTTTTTTGTACTTGTATCTCTGTGCCGCATTTAGATTATTTCCTCTGATCCATTTTCTAGCTAGAGTTCTTTCCTCCTGATCACAATGCTAATTATCTTCTCTTTTAACAAGTAATCCCACCCCCCCCAAGATAAATGCCTAGTGTCCTTGCCAGTTCTCAGGCTGGTAAGAGCTTTAGTCATTTCACAGGAATACCTCAGCTCCATGCCCATGATCTAGATCCTGAACTTGCCTATTGGCATAGCGATTCAGCTTCTAGCCCACAGCTGTTAAAGCCAGTATTTCCCCCTAATAAAGCCATTTCCGCTATCCTGGCATTCGTCCTTCTCATTCCCCATCAACTTATGCCTTTTGCATTCTTTTCATAAAAGGCACCTGAGGATTTCCCTTTCTTGATTTTGAGTTTATCTGAAAGTGTATGTATTTATTTTTTGTCCAACAACTATATCTATGTGTGCCAAGAGAGGGTGGGGGCAGATTTCTATATAGCAGTAGTATTGACTAGAAGTCTAATAACTTAGGCAGATTTTTTTCTGTATCAGATTGTTTTTCTTAAATGCTACATGTGATGGATGCTTTGTTACTTTTCTTCTTTTCATGGAGTCTGCTATGTATCTCTAAAATACAAATTTTCCCAGAGTGCCAAAATGCTTCGCCTCTTGCTTCTGCAGGCTGCAGAACGACATGAATCTTTAACAAGTTGGAATCTGGCAAAGAAGGCAAAATGGCGTGAAGAAGCGGCACTGGCTGCACAGGCCAAGGCTAAATGATATTCTGACAAAGTGTTCATCGGAATATCATCACTGTTACCAGCAACAATAAATGATAGGTAAAAGAGAATATTTAACAAAGTACTTGTCAAGGCTTTATTTTGGTAACAAGAATGGCAAAGTCTTTTTTTATTTCTACTTTTAGTAAACTTTTACTGATGTATAACATACATTTACAAAGTGCACAAAAATGTACACAGTTTGATAGAATTTTAGTGAACACACCTGCATAAGCACTGTTCAGGTCAAGACATAAAACATCTCCTTTCTGCCTCATTTCTGCCCTCAGTCAGTCATTACCACACAGATAAAAAAAGATGTTGTTTTATCACCATAGACTAGTTTTGCCTGTTTTAACTTTATATAAATAGAATGATATAATATACATTTGTGTAAATTCTTATACTATTATATTGTGAAATTCATCCAGACTCTGAGTAGCAGGAAGTCATTCATTTTCATTGTTATAGTATTCCATTCTATGAGTATGCCAGTTTATCTGGTTATTTGGTCCAGTTTTTGGCCACTAGAGATGATGCTAAAATGAGCATTCTGGGGATTTCTTTGGCAGTCCAGTGGTTGAGACTGCGCTTCCACCACACGGGGCACAGGTTTCATCCCTGGTTGGGAAACTAAGATCCCACATGCTTCAGGAACAAAAGTAAAACAAACTTCCCTTACCAGACATCACGATGTAGTCACAAAACAGGATAGTAAACAGCAAAGAAAATGAACAAACCACACATATATGCATCAATATGAATCTCAAAAGATGTTAACATTGAGCCAAAACCTGAAACTCCCAGATATAGAAAATATATGTAAACTTCCAGTTTACACATTTAGAAAACAGATAAGCGAGGCTATACTTCTTAGGGATATATACACATGAGATGAAACGATGAAGAAAAGCACAAGGATTATTAATAAAATCCAGAGTAATAGTTACAAGGGACTGATAATAATTAAATTGGATGGTGAGTACACAGGTGTTTTATTATTCAAACTGTCTTCTTACACATTATTCTCTTTGTGTATTTTATAATAAAACAATTTAGAAGGTGGAATGCTCAGAAAATAATGAGTCATGTTAAACCCCTAAAATTTTGCCATGCTTTTTTAGACAACAGTTTAAAAAAACACCCATGACTGAAAGGGAACAAGAGGGATCCCTCAAGAGTAAAGCTGTCCAAAGTTTAGAACTCCCAAATTTTAAATAACAGGTACTTTTGAGCATTACATATTAAATTCTCCAAACTGCCTACTGCTTCCAAATTTAAATGTTTATGCAAACGCTAGTGAGCGTTTTGACCTCTTTACTTGGTCAGCGTTTTAGCTCTCGTGGTACTGTACAGCAGTGCTTGCAAGTGCAACTACTTGAAAATTTTATTTCATAAGAATGGAAAATTGAAATGTTAAAGTGACTAATATTGATATGATGTATGTGTCTCTTAAAAGTGCAGACTGCTTTATTGGGAGCAAGAAACCCTAAAAATAACTGACATAATTACTTTTACTACTTTGTGATTGACAAAGTTTCAAATACTGAAGGAAATGAGGCCAGATGAAGCCAAAAAAAAAAAAATAGTAGTAGAATAAGAAAATAAAAACACTAAGGGGGGGCCTAAGCTTGGCTACTGTGTGATTTTGTGTTTCGAGCACACTAAGAAAGTTAAATCAGATATTCCCTTCTATTTCCATTTATTAGGTTTAAAACTCTAAGCCTTAAATAAATGCACTATATTACATTAAAATAATAGAAAAGGAAAAATAATCTCAGTTGAAACATATGAATGACCCATTAATTGCCAAGGCATGAGATACAAACATAAATTAGATACATCCTCCATTATAGGTGAATACACATATAAGTTCTAAAGTAAAAGCAACATACTACTTTATCATATAATCCTACCAATGAAATCATACTGGTTTTAGAAAGGGGATGGAATTTTAATCATTGAGGGCATCTGTTTTTTGCTGTTAGGAATACACAATTGTGAGAACAAATGAAACAGACATGCTTATATAAATGCAATTGTAAAATAGCATTTTATTGTTTTTAATATAGTGCTGTAACATTTCATAATATTGCATATTACTCAAATATTGATTTTTTTAGTTAGTCAAGAACATCTTCCCGCATCCCACTTCCCAATCAGAACTTAAAGACATATTATCCTTCTAGAGCTCTATCATATTGGCTCCTAATATGTTACATTCCATAAAACAGTAATGCTATGAACTAAAATGAGTAAAGGTTAACAGTTACTTTGATTTCACAGTTTCACAATGCAGCCAGTAGACTGCTGAATTTAGAACAGCAACAAAAATCCACTAAGACTTTGTATTGTAATTACTTTTTCCATAATGCTCCTTCCTAAGAGAAGAAAAAATATGAAGGCAAAGGTAATGTTTTGTCCAACAAAAGTCCTTTATCAACAAATCAATCTGTATCTGCAAACAGGTTTTACAGCTACCGAATGATATGCTGTTTCTGTGCCAGCAGATTTTATTACATTTTTTTGTTTTTATTTTTTGCTTTCCTGTTCTAGTGCTACCAGTAAGTGAACAAAATGACACTAAAAATTAAGTTCTAGAAACAGTTTTCAAAATAAAACTGATAGTAAAAACACCCGGGTCATTGAGTCAAGTACTTACAAATATAAAACAAGTAAATTGCATAGATTAGCTAGTAAAAATTCAAATTCAGACAAAAATAAAACACCAAATTTAATTAAACATAAAGGACTCTTTCAAGTATTTTTTAATTTCTGCATTAATGTTGCATGCATTGCCCTTTATAACATGTTTTCTTTTCTTTTTTTTTGGCACAGTTTCTCTCAGATTTAAACATAATAAATCTCAGGAAAGCAAGTTGAAAAAAGAAAATTTCCCACAAGGGCCAGTGAAGATTAAGGAAAATACATTTTGGAGCATTTAAAATATTACATTTGAAAAGAGTAGTCATATTAAGAAAAATTTTAGAAACAAAGTATTTGCTAGTATTGGTTCAATAAAGTTATTACCACACCAATAGCTGGTCCCAGTTGCCCCTTGCACTCAAATCTAATCAAATCAATTATCCTAGTAACAGATCCAATGAATTAAATATAATTTTGTATATAAATGCCTAAAATATGGTCAAATTCTATACTTAGAGGTATAATGCTTGCTTTACTGGCAAAAATTTAAAATTAAAGGCCATTCTATTGTTTCCATTATTTTTCCTTCTGTAAGAACTATTTTGTTTGAAAGACGTGGCTTAGAGATTTATTAATATAAATCTCCTAAACTGACTACAGGGTCCTCAAATAAAAGCAGGCACAGCTGGTTAGTTTATGAATTATGCTGCATTATCAAGTTCAATTGATTAGAATGAGTGGAATACCCTGTCACCTGATACACTAGCAGCATCACAGAAAAGCGTTGATCTGATAAATTCACCATCAACTTGGTCATCTTTAATACAACTACCCTGTTCTTTTGAATATACACATACTGAACCTCATAACTTCTACTACAATAGAAAGGGCACAGATACAATACTCTACTTAATAATATAAAAGAGGTTTCGAAGATGCAGTCAGCATTATGGACACCATTTAAACCTGTAGTCTATAGCCTGTAGGTTTTAAGTGTCTTGCCAAAAGCTTAGTTTCATGATATATAATTTTACAAAGTGTCATACTATTTAAAAGTACCTCTGTATACATTTTCTTCTTGTTAACATGCCTCTGATTTCCAGCAGAAACATTATAAATGATACCATAAATGAAATCTTTCTTTACAGAATAGACTATGAGTCATATAAAAAATGCTTTTAGTTTCTATCTTAAAACAGCAATAAACTAATTTTTAAATAAGTATTTTAGATATATAACTGGAAATGTAAATAGCCTGTATATAACTATAAATGAAAAAGACTGAGCTCAACAGTACCATATCTGCTTAGAAAACTACCGAGTATAGTAACGTGAAAAAAAAACAGGTAAGACACATGCATATATATGGATCTATAAATAAATATATATATATAATTTTCTACTGAAACTTTTTTTAAAAGTTTCACAATATGAAGAGGTTTTTGCTGTTAATACATAAACACTTACATTATATTAACCAATCTGATACAAATGTAATCTAATACAATGGTACATTGACAAGCAGCAGTATGACCCTCTGAATATTACCAAAGGGAAAAAAATCCTAATATAGGTTTCAACCAATTAAAGAATCCTTAGTAATTTTCATTAATATCATCCTTTTGTGTCCAAACATTAAGTACATTTAATAAAATTTAATACATAACAAGGTGATTTCTTCAGAACAATTTTGCCATTCAAGTACCTAAGTTCATTATTACACAGAAAGTGAAACTTCTCAATTAGTGCTCTGAAAAATCAGAGAAAGGAATACAGTATTATTTTTGCTATGCAGCACTACTTTAGATTCATGATGGCATCTCTATCATGATGCTCTTTAAAATGAGCAGTGAAAAAATAAAAAAACACTATTTCAAAAATGTTAGCATATTTGGTCAAAATATAAAATATACTAATATAGCATTTATATGTTAAAAACACAAATATTTAAATGTTGTGTAATTATTTTAATGTGTTCAATATGAAGAACAGCTTCTCTCTTCACAATTGCTACATTTTAATTGATTATCAGTACAACATTTTTCCTATGTTTTATAAGTAACTTTTACAGGTTTTGTTAAACCTTTTCTTTTGCAAAGTATAACCTACAGCACAGTGATTTATAATTTCTGGTAACATCTATCTTTACATTCTAATTTAGCCTTTTCTCTATTTCATGCTCCTGAAGCTTTTTTGTTTTGTTTTTGCTTTGAGAGGTAGATTTAGTAGAGAACGGGAATGTCAAACACTGCCAAAATGCAATTATCAACAGCTGTACTGTTAATGTGCAGTATCCAAGAGTGCTAGAAAAATTCAGGACCATTATTGTAATACTTTACCAAAATTCTCCTTCTTAGGCTTAAATTATTAAATAATGTATTTAACTGTTCTCAAATAGATACAAAAAAAGATAAAACAATGAAAGACATATATACAGGCAGACCAACATAACAACAAAACTATAATAAAAGGTTGCATATGAATGGAAACTTTTGTTTTGCTTTCTACAAGTGCATCTTCTTTCTTTTTTTGTTCTACACAAAAACGCATCAACTATTCCTACTGACAATGCAAGAAAGGGGAGATATGTAAAGCTACCCTTCTTAGCCATTAATTTGCCTCCTACCAAGTTACAGTTGGAACCCTTCCATTGGTGCTTCCTGCTGCTGAAATACAAACTGTTGCTGATTTTCATCCACTTGAGGTACAATACTGGGGTCGTCATCTTCTACACCAAAGTAATGTTCAATCAGATCAAAAGCCTTTTGGTAAATTTCCTGATTTTCATGGCTTTGCAGAAATTCAATTTTATCTAGACCTATTATATAAATCATATAAATAAAATCAAAGTTATTACTCAGATTTAAACATATATTTAAATCAAAATAATGAATCAATAGTATCACCAGTCCACTGGCAATGGAACCGTTATTTTTCATTTAATTAAAAAAATTAAAACATAATTTTTAAAGGTTGTATTCCATTTACTGTTATTACAAAATATTGGCTATATTCCCTGTGTTGTACAATACATCCTTGAGCCTATCTTACACAATAATTTGCACTCCACCCCCACTGGTTGCACTGGTTACCACTAGTTTATATGAGTTTGCTTCTCTTTTGTTATATTCACTAGTTTGTAGTATTTTTTAGATTACACATTTAAGTGATTCTGTAGTTTTTATCTGATTTTTGCATATAATGAGAGTCAATGAAAAAGTGAAGTCGCTCAGTCGTGTCTGACTCTTTGCGACCCTGTGGACTGTAGCCTACCAGGCTCCTCTGTCCATGGGATTCTCCAGGCAAGAATACTGGAGTGGGTTGCCTGGGATTCTCCAGGCAAGAATACTGGAATGGGTTGCCATTTCCTTCTCCAGGGGATCTTCCCGACCCACGGATTGAACCTGGGTCTCCAGCACTGCAGGCAGATGCTTTAACCTCTGAGCCACCTGGGAAGCCCCATGGTAGTCAATACTTATGCTTTACAGTTCACGAATAAAAATATTGGGCAATAGGGTATGAAGAATAAGCACAGGCTGGGCAGTAGGAAGATAGTAGAATCCACCCTTTTAGTTGTATGATTTTTCCCAAGTAAGTTTGATTCCTCTGTACTTCAGTTTCTGAATTTTAAAATGACAGTTTTAGATCATGTAAATGTCACAAGTTGTTTCCAGAGTAATCATGCTAAATAAAAAGCACAAAAAGGGAAAGCAACAAAACAAAAACAAGTAAAAAACCTAAAATTAATGAGCAAACTAACAGTAAGTTCTCTCACAGAATAAGCCAAAGTGTATCAATAAGGAATAAATGAATACTATTTGTAAATCCAATACAGTTTATAAGTGAAACTGGGAAAACCCATTTGCATAGTGTAAGGAGAATCTACAGTGCTCTATTTTACTGCTTACAAGAAAATAATCCATATA